TTTTTTTTTTTTTTTTTTTTTTTTTTTAAGAGAGTTAGGAAAGTTCAGTCTGGATCATTGCTAATGATCAGCAGGGATCATTCCTAATTTCTGAGCCATTTAACATATTTTTTGTTTTAACAGCTGAGCAGTAAAGGGAAAATAGATTTTGATAGGATTGATTGGAATAAAGGCTGCCTTCTTGCCTCTCTCAGTGTATGACTTTTGAAGCATTTAATTACAGTACCTAAATACCAAGAGGATTCTAAGAGCTTTTCTCTGAGCTCTTTTGGAATCATCCCAAGAAGAATCTTTACTGAGAACCTCGTGTGAAGGAAGAGAGGACCACTGATTAGGTTGCAGAGAGGAAGCCATTGTGTTCCTTATCTGCTTCGAGGCTGACTTGGAAGTAGTCCAGTCTTTGGGGCCTGGACCATAGGCCGTTTCACATAAAACATAAGAATTGGAAATTAAGGTTGTTAACTGTTTGACATAATAAATATTTAAGCATTTTAAAGTTCATTTTTGTGTTTTGAAAACTCTTAACAAGTGTTGCTTTTTTTTTTTTAATAATCCCTACTGAGATAACATCTGTTGACATTTTAATGTATGTCCGTCCAGCCTTTCTTACAAATAGATATGCATAGATATCTTCTCACTTTAAAAAGCAAAATGGGGATTTATACTGTTTGATATATTCATGAGTATGTGGTTTCTTTTTTTTTCTTTTTTTATTAGTGCATTATAGTTATACATAAGATTAGGATTCTTTTTGAAGTAACTATACAGACGTGGAACGTAAGTTGCTACAATTCAGTCCCCAGTACTTCTCCTGTTCCTCCTCTTCTCCCTCTCCCTGTTCCTTTTCCACTACTCTAGTGGGCTTCATTTGTTTATAGTTTTTTAAATTAGTGCCTTATAGATACACATAAAGGTGAAATTCACTGTGGTGTATTTAAAAATGTGCATATGATAGTTTGATCAATTTCATTCCACTGTCTTAGGTGTATTATACTCTGGTATTCCATTAGGGCTTTTTTAATGTTTTTAATGGAGCTGAGTTAGAAAGAGCAGCATGGTAGGAACACAAAGCACTGACTTCATTTGGGTCTGCAGATACCCAGTGGGGAACTAAAAACAGAAATGAATCTTGGCATTTCTGCCTTCATTTTGTGTTAGTCTTTATTCATACTCCGCTCTGCACAAAGGCATGCTAATCATTTAAGGAGATTTTATCTAAACACTGGCAATAGAAGATTTATTGGCCCTAAATTTATCCAACCTATCTTGTCTTTCTTCAAGACTGAGGACACTAAGAATAGAATAGGATATTTTCAAGATTTTCAAGGACCTTCATCTGTCAGCTGTATGAAGTCCTCTTAAAGACTGCTAAAGTGGCACCTAGAACTCTCTAGTTGTTGCCCTAAGCCTTCCATGAATAGCAGAGTCTTAACAAGCAGATCACCTGAGGATGAAACTGCTCCCCTAAGCAGGAGCAGTTGCTTCCTGAAACTGAGTTGCCCCCTCCCAGGATTATAGGTCTGATAGATAAATGTCTATCATATAACTAACAGATACAGCTAATAGAGATTTCTTATAAGGACATCCCTGGAGCCACTCACAGAACCAGAACTGAGATAACAATCAGCCAGACAACAGTTTGACCAAGACGTGCCTCTTGCCTCCTGCCCCAATGTTTCCTCTACTTTAACCTAAAACTCCCATCAATTCCCCAAAGAAGTTGGGACTGAGATGCTTGATCTCAGTTTTCTATTCTCATTATGGCCATATGGATTAAAATTCTTTTCTGTTTTCCCCATTACTTTTGTTGTTTGTTTGTTGTTGAGTGGCTGGGCCTGACTTGTTGGGACCCCCAGAGTCTGGCCTGTAACCTGGTAACAGGAAGAGCTCCTTACTTTTCTAATGACCTTGTGAGTTGCACATTATCACCTGCATGTTAAAATCCTGTCCTTGCCACTAATACTTTGCTTTGTGGTCTTAAAATATGTCATATAATAATTTCTCTCAGAGAAGATTCCTCATGGGAGAAAATAAGATAAACTGAATAATTTCTTAAGGTTTAACTTGAAATTTTCATACTATTCCTATAAATAGCCTATAAATGGTAAACATTTTTAGGCTCTATGTTTTCATTTATCTTGTCTAAAATAAGTTTTATTCTTAATAGTTCTAAACTATATTAGTATCCTTTTCTCCTTCTCCTTTTATCCTATTTGATTTATGATTCACAGTTGTTTATTACATGCTTTAGCCTACTGGCTTTACTCCAAGTTAAATCTGCTACTTCATCTCCACTCTGATTGGAAATTTTTTAAAAAATTATGTAAAAAATGTTTTTAACTGATTTTCTAGGATTCCTGGTTCTCCCATTTGTGCATTTGTTAGCTTTAGTTTTAGGGGGAGCAGAGGGGGTGCGGTGTTTGTTTGGTTTTTGGTTTTAGAGGTTTTTATTTTTATTTTTTTTGGTACTAAGGGTTGAACCCAAGGGTGTTTAACCATTGAGCCACATCCCCAGCCCTTTTTATTTTTAAATTTTGAGACAGGGTTTGCTAAGTTGCTAAGGGCCTCCCAAGTTTGCTGAGACTGGCTTTGAACTTATGATCCTCCTGCATCAAACTGCCGAGCCGCTAGTGTTACCGCTGTTGACCGGTGACGAGTTCTTGCTCCCCGATGTTGAAGAATAACACCAAAGAAGCACGCCGAGGCAAGGTCAGAGTAGAGATTAGAAGTTTATTAAAGGACAGAAGAAAAGACTTCTCCCGGAGGAAGAAGGGGACCCAAAAGGTGGAATCCGTGGAAGTGCAGTTGTCTCCCCTTTTTATAGTTCTTTCAGTGATGGAATGTAGGTTGGAAGGCCTGAGGGGTGGGACACAGGTGGGCCAAAGAAGTAGTCTGAGCAGGAAGGACTTTTGAGATGGGCTTATCACTTCTCTGGGATGGGCTATTTCCAAATCTGTTGGGGCTGTTGGTTAACACTTCTTTGAGGTGGACTTTGGCCTAGGGCCTTTTCAGGACTTCATTAACATTCCATGAGTTGTCCTGTGTTTTCCCTGAGTCATTTCCAGCATGGCCTCCATTTTAGATTTCACTCGATATTAGACCTGGTTTACCTAACTACACTAACTACCTAACTTTAAATCTGGCTTCACTAGGATTACAGGAATGTGGTACCATACCTAGCTAGATTGGTGTTTTTCATCCCTGGCTTCATGTTAGAACACCAGGGAATCTTCTACATGCTATCAGTGTACTAGAACTCCTCCAGATACATTAAATATGAAGCACTGCTCCAGATTATATTTGGTTTTGCAATCATTGGCTGGCTTTCTGTAACTAATTTACAGCATGAATATTTGTTTTTTTACTTCTGATTTGTTATTGTGTGATCAGAAGTAGAAGAGACCACTTACTGTAGGTATCTGTCTTAATTTTTTAATTCTTTGTTCATGCTAAGAATTTAAGTGTCCCACTTAAATTATTTATTCCTATAGGCCCAAATGCCCCTTTCCCTTATCACTGTGGTTAAATTATGCAACTAATAATATGGCATACAATTAATTTTATAGCAAAGATGTAGAAATTATGTAGATTATTACAGATAAAGGATTTTTAATTAAATTTAAAAGGATTATGGCTCAAAGTCCTACAAAGTTTACATTAGATTACATGTTAGCCTGGGTCGGTGTGCATGCCTGTAATCCCAGCAGTTTGGGAGACTGAGGCAGGAGGATTCCAAGTTCAAAGCCAGCCTCAGCAAAAACAAGGCACTAAGCAAATCGGTAAGACCCTATCTCTAAATAAAATACAAAATAGGGCTAGGGATGTGGCTGAGTGGTTGAGTGCCTCTAAGTTCAATCCCCAGTACCAAAAAAAAAAAAAAAAGATTATATGTTAGATAATCTTTCATGGTCAACAAAATCACAGGAGAATGTTAATTAAATTCCTCTCTAACTGCATTACTCCTCACTAACTCAGCCCTCAGTAACTTTAATTTAAATAGGGCTTAAACTATACTGGACAGCTTAATCCATTCTCCCAGGCCACACTCTCAGATGTGACTAGGCCAAGCTTCTGATTTTCCCAAGGGCAGGGGAAGTGATCAAGAAGTGAGTGCCTTCTGATCATTTGATACTTTTAAATTCTTTGTATGATATGGACTTTGTAATGGTTAGTCTGTTTCCTGATTGGCTAATACAAGAAAAATCTTTCCTTTTTTCACATACATTTTAATACTCCAGAATGACTTTTTGTAAAAATATGGAGCTTTTGTTGTTATCTTTTAATTCTTATGAGTATTTTAAATTTTCTCTTATTTCTTAAGTTATTTTTAACTTAGTTCTAGGTACAGACAGAGTGGAGCAGATGACCAAAACTTACAATGACATTGACATGGTTACACATCTCCTTGCAGAGGTAGGAGTTTATCTTTTATTTCTCTAATACAAAAAGCTAAAACTGGGGACTGGGGTTGTAGCTTAGTGAGTGCTTACCTAGCATGTGTGAGGCACTAGGTTTAATCCCCAGCACCACATACAAATAAACAAATAAAGGTAATGTGTCCATCTCCAACTTTAAAAATATTTTTTAAAAAAAGCTAAAACTGAGGATCATTTGTAATCTATCAGATTTGCACATTAGATGAAAAATGGTGACGTCTGTGTTCTGGGTTCTTTTTGAGTAAGATTGTTACAACTGAAACATCTGGCATACCATATTACATTACAAACTAAATGGTTTCTGAACCGTTGATTGTTGTGAAGTTATAGAGGACTGATTGATCGATCAGTTGACTGATTGGTTAATATGGTGCAGGCTGGACTATATCTTCTAGAAAAAGATCTTGTTTTTAAATTGTCCCTGCTGTTATGTGGAGTAGAGCCGCCCATTCAAGAAGATCCATTGCAAATGGGGATCCATTGCAAATAAATAGCTGCAGTCTTTCAGTCAGCTTTTTTGTCACTGTACCAAAAGACCTACAAGAACAGTTTGAGAAGGAGAAGTTTATTTGGCATTCATGGTTTCAGAGGTCTCAGTCCATTAACAGCAGATTCCATTCCTCTGGGCTTGAGGTAAGGCAGAACATCATGGTGAAAGAGTGTGGTGGAAAACAGCTCAGGACATAGCAATCAGGAAGCAGAGAGAGATCTGCTCACCAGGGACAAAATGTATATCCCAAAGGCATGCCCCAGTGACCTTCCCCCTCCAGCAACATCCTACTTGATTACAGTTATAACTCAGTTAATATATTCAAGTGAATTAATGCACCTGTTAAGGCTTTCATAACCCAGTGATTTCACCTCTAAACTTTCTTGGGTTGTCTCACACATGAGTTTTTTGGAGGACACCTCATATCTAAACTATAACATGAAAGCATTTCCTTTTTTCATTTTCAATTTGATCTATTTGATCTTAGTTTGTTTATGGCATTTTAAACATGTATAGTGTATCTCTTCCAGTTAATAGTCAATAGTGTTCTCTTCTTGTATCTGTTTCGTTTGACTTTCTCTTTGACATATACCTGCCCCCTCTCCTCCCCAGATTTTCAGACTAATTTTCGTATATGCCACTTAGCCTATATTTAAATGAGATAAATGACCTTGATACTTGGGAGATAATCCATCCATTTTTATGTGCTATGGGAGGGAAACAATTTTATTCATAATGATTAATGTAAACTGAACTCATATTTTAGGCAGTTAGAGATATGTGACAGTTTTCCATGCCATGAATATAATCCTTACCACTACCATACAGATGGGATTCCAGGGCTCTAACTGACTATAACTCTGAATTAAGGCTTGTTGCTTGGCCTCCCTGCATCACTTACCACCAACTTCATTAGACTCTCTTCTCCTAGAGGCAGACCCCTGAGCCTCAAATTTCCAATTCTTTATTCCTTATTTTATTTCACATCATTATTCTTACACCATTTGTCAGTGGGGCTCTTCACTGTGTTTTCCTCTAAGCTACTGGCAAGAGTGCATATAAACTTTGCCTTAAACAAAACTATTTTCAATATGATATGATCCCCATATCTTAAATGGCTAATTCTGTATCATTATCATACTTAATACACAATTATGCTTAACAGATATTTGGGCTTTTATGGTATAGTTTCCATCTTGTGGGGGGGAAGTGGGGGTTGTTCACTGGGGGTTTAACCCAGCTCCCTGAGCATGCTAAATGCACGTTCTACTATTGAGCTATATTTCCATCCCCCATCCTTATTTTTTTAAAGCCTCTATTAATTTTTCTAATTCTCCAGTTATAAGTTTAAGGGTTTAATTGTTGGGCTCTAGTGACTAGAATGATCAATAAACTGTGACTCAGGCTCAAAAAAAGAGACGCTCTTCTGCATTTATAACTCTAGTAGTCATCCATTTGATTAATTTTTTTAATTTTTTGTAGTTGTAGATGGACAGCATGCCTTTATTTTATTTATTTTTAGGTGGTGCTAAGGGTCAAACCCAGTGCCTCACCCATGCTAGGCAAGCACTCTGCCACTGAGCTACAGTCCCAGCCCTGATTAATATTTATTAAACACTACCTGTGTGTGCCTGACCCTGTATTCATTTGCAGTATCTGGTCATTAAAATGAATCTCAATGTTTTATAGGAGATTGCTTTTGAGTTTATCAAAATTGACTGCAGAATTTCTAAGCTGACATCTAATTCTATTAGTACTCAAAGAAGTGTGTTTATTTGGTGTTTTAACAGAGAGATCGTGATCTGGAGCTAGCTGCTCGAATTGGACAAGCTCTCTTAAAGCGGAATCATGTCTTGTCTGAGCAAAATGAAGCCTTGGAAGAGCAATTGGGACAAGCCTTTGATCAAGTAAAATCTTTGATCTAGTATTTGCAGCATGAAACGAAACGTTTAGGTCTTGTGTAGTGGAGACCTTTATTTTCCCAGATATCCTTGAAATGATGGTAGTAGGTAAATACCAGTCCCTGTTGGCAACCATCAAACTAAATAGTAGAGAAATGAAATGTTACTATATAGAACACTCAGGTGACCCTACCTTAGTTAATTAAAGCCTATATTCAGTATCCATAGTGCTTCTAGCACCCTGCTTAGATCCTAAGACTGTCCTTACCCCTTTGCATGAAGTCTTTGTATGTGATCATAAAGTGTAGGTATCTTTACTCTGAAGCCAAAACAAAAGGCAGAAAAGAAAAAGAAATTTTTAAAAATGCATTTATTTCATATCAATAAATATTTGTATTAAGAACTAATTTATTGTCAACTTGAATGGTTAAATTTCGGATTTCCTATAACTTGTTATTTTTATCAGGTTTCATGTATCTTTTATAAATATATTATAGTTGATAATATTTATGTCTAAGTTGAAAATATTTATTTCCTAGAACTAAAATTAATATTCCTAGGAAGACATGCAAAGTTATATATAACTTAAAGTATAAGCTCTTGGGTTGAAAATTTGAAGTAGGGGGTCTGTTCTGGTACTTTGAAGGTTGTTCTGTATTGTTTTCAACTAAGATTGTATCATCATCTTAAGTGAAATTTTCTTCTATTTTCTTATCTTTTAGAGTATGAAAATTGAATTTTCTTCTTACCTACTAAATAAAAATCAGTATTAGTTGAGTTAATGGTCAAAAACTGTATTTTAGAAAGTATCTGGGATTTGTTATTTAACACTTGTTATTTTTGTCATTCAAATCTAGCATCTGATTTTATAATTTTTTATGGCAAAAAACAGTTGTTCCACATAGTAGAAGCTATAATCAAGCACTTTTTATACGCAGGTTAATCAGCTGCAACATGAGCTATCCAAGAAAGATGAATTACTTCGAATCGTCTCTATTGCTTCTGAAGAAAGTGAAACTGATTCCAGCTGTTCTACACCTCTTAGGTTCAATGAGTCCTTTAGCTTATCTCAAGGTTTGCTACAGCTGGACATGCTACAAGAAAAGCTCAAGGAACTGGAAGAAGAGAACATGGCTCTTCGATCCAAGGTATATTTGACCTCATTCTCATTTACTTTAAAGGCTACAAGGTTCAGTTGCAGGTAGAATTGAGATAAATTATGGCATAACATTCTTATTAAGGGTTGGCAGACAAGGAACTGTTTGCCTTCCATTGTTACTTAGAGCCCACTGAAAAGTGGATGATAGCAGGTTGACAAGTAAAATGGGGATGGCCATAGCATAGGATGGACATCAAATGGAGTTTATATATATAAATAAGTAACTGGAAGAAGAACTATGTCCAAAAAAATTCAGGTTTCTATGAGCTGGCATAATGTAGTGAATCAAAGATGTCCTACTTAAGCAAGTGACATTTTAACCAAGCCTAGAAATTCATTAGAGATATAGATTACAGGGGGCTTGAATGGGCGTGTGCAAAGACCCTGAGAGCAATGAGGAGAGATTCTTTTCATGTTCTTTTCCCTATATTTATTTTGTGGTAGGTAAAGTTTGACAGACTGTTAGTATTTTTTTTTCCTTTGAAAGTGGTGAGCTTAAATTTTTAAACAACAAAGCCTTTTGTAGTTGTTAATACAAAAGCATTAGACGATATTGTCACAGACTGATTTTTTTTTTCTTGAAGGCTTGTCATATAAAGACAGAAACTTGTACTTATGAAGAGAAGGAACAACAGCTTGTGAATGACTGTGTTAAAGAACTTCGTAAGTAGTAATATATTCTGTTTCATAGCCTTTGTGCAATTTTTTGTTAGGAAATCTCCAATTCGGAAATTTGATTAATAGTTTCAGTAGAAGTATCTCAAGAAACAGTTTAAAATTTACTTAGTCTATTTTGTGTTGCTATAACAAATACCTGAGAATGAGTAACTTACAAAGTAAAGAGGTTTATTTAGCTCACAATTCTAGTGGCTAGAGATTCCAAACATTGTGATGACTACATCCTGGCAAGGGTCCTGGCTGGCTTACAACATGGCAGAGAGGTGGAAAGGGAGCTAGCTGTATGCAAAAGGGGCCAAGCATTTGAGGTGTTCTTGCTTTATAACAACCCAAATCTAGAAATCTAACATAATTGGAGAGACCAGCTTTAATCCCTTTGGTAGGCAGTGTCCTCATGACCCAAATACCTTCCACTAGGTCCCACCTCCTAGAGATCTCACTACCTCCACACCACCACATTTTTCCAACACATCAACCTTTGAAAGACAGACCACATCTAATCCATAGCAATTACTAAAAGTTCTATAATATCACATTGAGCCTACAACCCTAAATAAGATACCACATGTATTTTTAAGAAATACATGTTTCAAATAACCATCATCATTAAAGAAGGCCCTGAATTTCTTTTTTTCCCTCCTTTCACATGTTTTTATTGGTGCATTATAGTTGTACATAATGATGAGATTTCTTATTACATATTCATACATTCGCACAATATAACAATATAATTTGGTCAGTATCGATTCCCACCACCTCCCCACTCACTCCCCTTTTCCTACCCTTTTCTCTTCTGATTTCCCTTTGATTTTCATGAGATCCAAGCCCTGTATTTCTATAAATAAATTATAACATAATAGCAAGAAAAGAATTAAAGCTCTCATTTTGTTGCTGAGGAAATAATCCTAGAGTGGATATGATTTGCCAAAGTCAGAAAACCGATTAGAGGCAGAACAAGGGCTTAAAATATGGCATAAAATCTAATGTTTATGGAACACCCAAATATTCCGGTAAGGACAGGAATATGATTTAAAGTAATGTTCTCTAAAACAATTTTAAAAATAAATCATAGAAAAAGATTTAATTTCTCTGTAAACATAGCCTTTTATATTGAAAGACAATATGATAATGTCACATCAATTCATTTTGGCTGTGCGTCTCAAAATATGACACCTTAGAGTAACAGAATGTTAATGTTAGAGAACCAAAAAGAATGTAATTGAATCTTCTCTACTACCTTTACCAACTTCAGAAAGAAGTGACTTTCCCCAAAGCTCAGCTCCAGGTCTCCTCCCTTTCTATTATTATCCTTTGAAATACAAGAGGCTCTCCATCAAATTAAAAAGTAGTTTTTCCACTTGTAATTAGATGTCAGTTTTTCATATGAAATACAGGTTTATTTCTCCAGTGGAATTCTGAAGGTTCTATTTTATGTACATGCAAGAATGCTAGGCTGCAAGAATTACTCTGGAGATCCTACTTAGTTTTCTGGGTAGCCCAGAAAGTCTGTCTCACACAGAAGCATCTCAGTAGCTTTATCACATTCTGTCACAGATTGTGACTGTCCCATTCTGTAACTGTTCCTTTGTTAGATTAGTTAAGATTAATTATCATTGTTTGTGGGATTTAAGTTACATATCCCTGAAGAGTTCTCAAAGACAAATGAAATTGCCTGTTAATGCTTGCGAAAATATGTAATTCACTTAGCTTTCCTTTTAGTTTTTTAGTCCGTTATTAAGAGAAATATTGGAAAAACTGTCTTACATAAAGAAAAAAATTGAAGTAAAACATTTAGCCTTTGGCCTTTATAAGTCATCTCTTTTCAGTGTCATTGTCTCCTGTATAATTCCCAGCATTTGCCTATCTCAGAAAAAGCTTTTGTAATTTATGTTAAAGAAAAATGTATTTATGCTTGTCCAGTCCTTGTTACTAATCAGAATTCAGCCTATAGGCAGTAGTTTGCTAACCCTTGCTATACCTTTTAATTTTGCTTCCTAGGAGAAACAAATGCTCAGATGTCCAAAATGACTGAAGAATTGTCAGGGAAGAGTGATGAACTGATTCGATACCAAGAGGAGATCTCCTCGCTTTTGTCTCAGATTGTAGATCTGCAGCACAAACTTAAAGAAGTAGGTGTATTCATTCATTCAGCTAATGTTTGCTAAGTGCTGACCTGGTACTGTTTGCTAAGCAGCACTAGATACATGGAGCAAAATATACAGGTCCCCAGCCCTTTTTAATGCCTTAGTTTAATTACTGTTTTAATCTTCCTTATTTCCTAAAATATCTTAAATAGTTTGGAGTCACTATTTTTCTCTTAAATGGTGTTAGATTTTCCTTAGAAATTTTGCTCACTTTATTGTTCTTAATTGGCTTTTAAAAGCCTTTTAAAGGACTTAAGAATACATGTCCCACAGAGAAACTTTTAAGATGTTTTTAAAAGGGAAGGAGTAGCCATTTTTAATTTGGGAAAGCCTCATGTGTCTCTTTTAATATATTGTTAGCATGTGATTGAAAAGGAAGAACTAAGACTTCACCTACAAGCTTCCAAAGATGCCCAGCGACAACTGACAATGGAGGTAGTGAAATCTTCCTTGATCTCGTGTAATTCAGGAGGGCTGGGATGAGTAGTTTTTTTTTGTTTTTATTTTCCGTCTTTGAGACTAAATTATTAAAGGGGAATTACCAGCTTTGAAAAACAGCCAAAGATTAAGATGAAATTATAAGATCTGTGAAGAAAAGCATTTTTAAAATTCTGTCTCTAAAACTAATAATGGCAACATCCTTCTTGATTAGTAGGGAAAACCTTGACCTTTGTAAGATTCTTTAGAAATATAGGACCCTTTTTCTGGTCTGCTTAAAAAAGTCCAGCAGTTTTTAAATAAGATCATTTCTCAGTAGTAAGAGAAATAGCAAAACTTTTACTTTCTGTCTACATAAACATTTTATATGTTAGATATACCTTAGTGGTAATTTAGTATGCATAAGAATCACCTGGGAGAGCAGGTTTTCAATGGAAATGCCCAGGCACCATCCCAAGAGTTTCTAATTCAGTTAATTTAGAGCAAGGGCCTAGAATGTACTTTTTATTTTTTGATACTAGGGATTGAACCCAAGTGTGCTTAACCACTGAAACACATCCCCAGCCCTTTTTTAGGACAGGGTCTCACTAAATTGCTTAGGGCCTTGCTAAACTGCTGAGGCTGGCTTTGCCTTCTGAGCCACTGGAATCTTAGTGTGTACCACCGTGCCCAGCTGCTGGATGTTCATTTTAATGAACATCCCTGGCTCTGGTGATTCTGATGAGTAACAGTACACATACTAGAAGAAATTTTTTCAGTTCTGAAAATTATATACTCTTTTACCAGACTTGTGTATCTAGCTGTAAAAGAAGATTCTGAAACAAGAGGGAAAAACTACTTGTTTCGGATGATTGAACAGCCTGATATCAAGTACAACACTTTCTGTACTCTTGATCTTGTCACTTAAAGACTTCAGAGTGATGTTTAAAGGAAAGATATGACTTGACCATATCTTTTAAACCTCCTCTGTAAGCTTGATAAAGTTAGCTTAACCCTCTGGATAAAATTAATACTTATCCCCAGGATTTCTGTGGTTTTTTCCCCATTGTTGTTTTGAGAAGATAGTGAAGTACACTGCTGTCCTTTCTTTCAGCTACATGAGTTACAAGACAGGAATATGGAGTGTTTGGGAATGTTACATGAATCCCAAGAAGAAATAAAGGAACTTCGTAGCAGATCTGGCCCTGCTGCTCATCTGTACTTCTCTCAATCTTATGGAGCTTTTACTGGGGTAAGAAACAGAAAGATGCCATGAATTTGAGGAAAAGATTAGATTGTCCTCAGAGTGAGAGGATTTATGATGGCATAAGTTGCCTTGAGATAACATGGTTTGTTCTTGTTTCTGAGATCCAGTTATAGATTTAGACTTCAATTTGATATATCTCTATCTTAATACTCTTACTAATTCTAACAGATGACCTTCTAGAGTATTGTAATAAATAAGATGAGCTGTAAGGAAATTACATTTTAATCTGTGTACTAAGAGCTACTTAAACATGGTTCATCTCACCTGAGGCCCATCATCTACTAATTATTTAAACAGTACTTTAAGCATCTAAAACCTCTTTCAGTACCTCTTGAAGTTTCTTGTTATGTTTAACTCCATTTAGAATGTAAGCCCCATGAGAACAGGAGTTATTTAATTCATTAGTAGACAGTATCTTTTTTTTTATTTGTTTTAATTAGTTACAGATGACAATGCATTTTGATACATCATATATAATGGAGTATAATTTCTCATTCTTCTGGTTGTACATGATGTAGTAGACAGTATATTTTTAATGGTAGAAATTAATAAAAGCTTCTGAGTTTATGCCAGAATTTGTGATGTTGGTTCAAACATTTACCTTAGCAATCTGGTTCTTAAATACTTACATGGAGTTACATGGAGTCCTGTGAAATTTTTAAAAATCCAAAACTCTAAATTTTGGTAGATTTTCTTAAGGATATGAGGGTAGAAGTTTTGTTTTTTAATTTTGAAATAATTTTGGATTTAAAATTCCAAATATAGTAAAGAGAACTCTCATATATTCTTCAACTATTAACATACTACTGTATTTACTAATTACATGTCTGTTCTTTTTTTAATTCTGGACCATTTAATAAGTTGCAGATACAACATAGTACCCCTTAGTATGTAAGTGTGTGTCTGCTAAAAGCAAGGACACTCTGGAGGACTTGCCTACATAATCACACTATGACCATCAGCATAAGGAAGTTGACTTGATGTGTAATACTGTTGTCTAATCCACAGAGCCCATAGATATTTTCCCAGTTCTCCCAATAATGTCCTTTAAAAGATGCATAGCATTTAGTAATTTAAACCAAGGGAGATTCTTTTGTTTTTTTATTTCATAACCTTTATAGAATGTCCACAATTTAATGCCATATTATTTTCAGTGCGTCATAACAGGAGGCTACAGAATGTCTATATATTACTTTATTCATGATATTAGTATTTTGTGCAGAGAGACTTTGAAATTAAATGTCCTATTTCTCCTCAGACTTTCCATCCATGGTGTTAGCTCCATTGATTGTTCTCATCTGGTTTGGTTATTACTATTGTGATTGCCAAATGGTGATTTTTCTAATTCCATTTTTCTACATTATTAATGACATTCTTTTGTAAGAGCTTTTCTACCCTATTTATTTATTCATTTGCTCCTTGAGTTATATCAATATGAATTCCTATTTTATTCAATGGATTATAAAATATTATTATTGTGTATTTTGATATTTAAATTGTCCCAGAGATGGCCAGTGGGATTTCCTTCAAGCTTATATTTACTTTTTGTCCCAGCCCTGGAATTGGCCCTTTCTTCAAGGAGCTCTGATGACATTTTTACAGAGGAATGGTATTCTGAATGCAAGACTGGGTGCTGGGTATACCCATTACCACTAGAGTATTTTTGCTTCTAGGCCCTCTCAGCAGATAAAGCTAGGAAATATTTTCTATTTCATATATATACCTAGACAATACATAGATCTGTTTTTCCACTCATATTTATATTTACATATGTATATATAATAAAAATCTCAAGTTCACATGATTGGCTTTAGTTCTAGTTATTCTCAGCTCAAATTACTGAGCATGTCAACCATGCTACTTGAATCCTCATCTCTGACCAGTGGAAGAAATAACTTACTTAATTTCTTAATGATTTTTCTAATGTTACAAAAATTTATACATGTATGATATGGATAAGTTAGAAATTACAGAAAACAGGAAGTAATTGTTGCAGAAAATCACGGTTCTTGGCTTATGGTCTTTCAGACCTTTTTGTTTTTGTATATTTGCTTGTGTAATATTTTCTATTTATCATAATTCCCATTGCTTTCTTATAAAAATATTTCATGAAAAGATATTTGGTTCTTGTTCAAATGTTTTATTTTTACAGTGTCTCTTTTTATTCACCCTGAGTTTTAGCTTGTGACTATTTTCTTGTGTTTTCTTTTATTATAACACCAAAAATATAGGCTGCTTGAAAATCTATTGATTAATTTAAGGGCCATGTTCACTTTAGGGAGCACATACTCTTTTTTTCAGGAATCTTTGGCAGCTGAGATTGAGGGGACCATGCGTAAAAAGTTGAGTTTGGATGAGGAATCTCTCTTTAAGCAAAAGTAAGTACAGATCACAAGGTGATCTCAACCACTGGAATGGACATTAAACAGAAGCCACAGGTCTGAGGATGTTGCTCAGCCTAGTATGTGCAAGGCCCTGGGTTCAGCCACCAGCACTAAAGGGGAAAAAAGAAGCCACAATCCAAAGTGGTAACTATTATGAAATTCAATAGTAAATCTTCTTACTATTCATTTTTTTCCTTCATTATACTGACTTAAGAGAATTTTCTTGTTCTTAAAATTTATTTTCTACTAAAAACTAAACAAAGAATTAAACTGAGAGTTCTTCTAAGAACTAAAGTCTCTAAACTTTAGAAACTGTTCAGGGTGGCTTTATTTCTAATGAACTGTACATTCAAGACTCTGCTAAACACCCTAGTGGATGGCAGAGATAGTAACGAATGCTTCATTTTTTGACAGAGCCCAACAGAAACGGGTGTTTGATACTGTCAAGGTTGCAAATGACACACGGGGCCGCTCTGTCCCATTTCCAGCTCTGCTACCCATCCCAGGCTCAAACCGTTCAAGTGTCATCATGACAGCAAAACCTTTTGAGTCTGGTGTACAGCAAACAGAGGACAAAACACTCCCAAACCCAGGGAGCAACTCAGAGGAGGCTCCAGGGTAAGAAACAGATGACAGCAGTGATTCTGCATTTCTGTGGCATTGGCATACCAGATACATATACTGAGTATTCCAGCACTCCTCTATTCTATTCCATAAAGGTTCTATAACACTCGATTCTCATTCAGTTTCGATGTCCTACATTATGTGTAGGATATTATCAATTTCATCAATGTTTTTGAGTGAAAATGTGTGTTCAAAATAGAGTTTGCATTTAACTTCAAAATTTTTCACTTCTTATAAGTCTAAATCTTCATGTTCAAAGTCGATTTGTTCAAATCAATTTGGTCAGTGTTATAAATGCATCAGATGACATTTTCTCCTATTCCATGTTTATAATCTCAACCACTTTGGTGCTTTGATAAAGAATGAATTTAAGTACATATTGTGAAGTTCCAGGTTGCTTCTGATTTCTTACTTGTTTAAACTCAAATTATTTTCCTTCTTTTCATTAATTCAGTTCTTTAAATTACATATAATTAGAAGCTAAGCAGCTTTATTAGAAAAAGTCAACTGGAAACCTTTGAAACATGAATATATGGCACTTTGGGAAAATCTTACCTAATGCAGAAATCCGTCACACAAGGTTTCATTTGTGTTGCTTGGTCTGTCTTGAGCATGGTGTGTCCCTTGTTATATAGTTGTCTTAGGAGAAGCTCTGAAACAGATCTATGTGAATTCACACAGTTACTAAGCAAGTATAATCTTTCCTTTGATGTCATTTGTAAAATAATTTCTAATTTTCCAATGTTGAAAAGTGTAAAAAAATGTGCACCAGAGAACTATGAAAATTCAGTATTATACAAATCTTATTATCTTTTAAATATTTTGCAACATTCACAGCCCAAAGGAAATTTTTTCATAATTTCATATTTTTAAACTGTTGTTTTTCAACTAATGACATGTCATTTAATGGATAGCATGTTCTCTTTTATCATATTACTTAAAATAATGATCCCTTTTATAATCAATGGATAGATTCAGTAAAATGTGATATTTACTTTTCTGACTACCTGAATATATAGATGGACATATCTATAGCTTCATAAATCAAATAGAAAAATTGACAAACACAACATAACAATAAAATATGTTTTGCCTCTCTAAAGTAATTTGAAATATCTGTAAAAATGACATTTAGTAAGTATTGCTGGTGATTTGGATTTGTTGTTATTGTACTCCAGATATTCTATGAGAATACCTCCCTTTTAAAATCAGTCTCTTAAATGTTCACCCTTATAGGAAGGAGAGATCATGACTTTATGATCTGATCAGTGAATTTGATTTTCCTGTAGGAGCTCTCAGTCGGTGAGCCAGCCAGAACCTTCAGAAGACAGTGATTTGGCTACAGCACTACATCGCCTCAGCCTGCGTCGACAGAACTACTTAAGTGAGAAGCAGTTCTTTGCTGAAGAGTGGGAACGGAAGATCCGGGTTCTAGCTGACCAAAAAGAAGGGGTTAGTGGTTATGACACTCCCACAGAGAGCCTTGCATCTGTTTGCACCGACCAGTCAGAGATCACAGACCTCAGCAGTGCCAGTTGCCTTCGAGGCTTTATGCCAGAAAAATTACAAATCGTCAAGCCCCTTGAAGGTAATAAGTCAGTAAGGGCTCTGTCCAAACTAGGCAGCATTTGGACTTTCCTTTCCCTGGACTTGAGATTCTGTTGTAACTATAAGAGCACTGTGTGTGGAAGATATATTTTCAAATCTCACTGTTTGGCTGATAGGGCATTATGTGTTTTGTGGAAAATTAGTAAATGAGATCAGCGTTCTCTAAGTCATCGTCCATCAGTTCTTTTCTGATATTTTTAATATAAATATGAGGGGGGAGGAGGAGGAATCATTTCCTGTCCTTTGCTAAGGACTGTCATTAATAGCAGTTTCCATGGAATGAAAAATGAAAATGAACTGGAGATGATACCTCATGTCCATCTTCCTATTCGAAAAAGAACTCTATATCCAGGAACAATAATTACTTTGGGGTTTGTATGCCTGCATTTTATTTTTTAAATTTCTGTTTCAGTTCAGTTTTTATTCTAAGGTAGTACTTGAATTCAAAATAAATTTCTTTGTTTTATGGAATATTGGCAGTTCTCAAATGAGACTCTGCCATTATCATAACCATTATTATACAAGAATTATGCATTAAACAAAATTTGGGGTAGTTAACCTATAAGGATCCCTCAACTCAGAGGTTCCATAACTTAGTTTGATGTAGGCATTTGTCAGAGTTGTCATTCTTAGGATGAAATGACTGTAGTGACATAATTAGATGCTGCATCTGGTGCAGGTGCTTGGGATGAGTGTTCACCAGGGACCCATACACTAGAACCAAGGGAATGTATCCTTTTTATCATTTTCATTTTCATTTTCTTCCTGGGAACCCAGAGGAGAGAGAATCATGAGCAAGATGGGGAAATACATAAAGAAATTACTGAAAACTCAACTTATCTCCCAACCTAGGAGCCTGGCTTTTGGCTTCCAAGTTTATAAGCCCTGTTCCAGGCCAGGGGAGTATTGATTTTTATCACCAGGGAAAACACAGTCCACCTCTCAGGTACATCCCATCCTTTTCCTCACTGCTTCAGCATCCTGATTCCCATTAAGAATGTCTTCTTGGATTTTTTTCCCCTCTCCTTCTTTAGATATCCTTTTATAAAATTTATTTATTTATTTATTTTGGAGGGGATACTGGGGATTGAACTCAGGGGCACCCAACCACTGAGCCACTCTCCCAGACCTATTTTGTATTTTATTTAGAGCCAGGGTCTCACTGAGTTGCTTAGTGCCTTGCTTTTGCCAAGGCTGGCTTTGAACTTTCGATCCTAACTCAGCCTCCCGAGCCGCAGGGATTACAGGAGTGTGCCACCATACCCCGCTAATTGTCCTTTTTAAAGTTGACTTTTGAAATCGGTTATTACACCCCCAATGTCTTATCAGTCTTTCACAGAGAATTTTAATTTGCCAAGCTTATTAACAAAATATTAAGATCAATAAGTAGTTTTATTACTATCATTATTACTATTGCACACATAATTTTAACTTTGTTTCAAGATTTAAGATGCCTCTCTTTTCCCTTGGCTTGTACATTCAGGATCACAAACTCTACATCACTGGCAGCAGCTTGCTCAACCAAACTTGGGAACTATTCTTGATCCACGACCAGGTGTCATTACTAAAGGCTTTACCCAGTTGCCCAAAGGTGCCGTCTATCACATCTCAGATTTAGAGGAGGATGAAGAGGAGGGCATCACTTTTCAGGTTCAGCAGCCTCTTCATATGGAGCAGAAACCTGCAGTATCCAAACCAGTAACAGGGATCTTCCTACCACCCATTTCTTCAACAGTTGGACCAGTTGCAGGTAAGAAGAGTGCTTGGTTGAACATGGCCTAGTAACCAGTAGCTTTTGCATTCTGACTGATCAACTGGCTTCCTCGCTCAAATCTCACAGGAATGTATTCAGTATTGGATTTAAGATAATGCATATCTGTGGCACTAGTGACATTCTAATTCTCTCTACTTTATCTCAGCCATGCCTTCATGGATTGGACAGAGATAGATCAATTCAGTCAGTTTGCAAAAGGTTTGCATACCTTTTGGTCTCAGTATCTGTTAAAAATTGTTGAGAATTCAAGACAGTGTTTCTATGAGGGTTGTGTTACATCAGTTGATATTTGCTGTTAGAAAACAACTGGCAGAAGTAAGAGATTTTTTAAAAATATTAAATCACTTAAAAATAATTACCTGTTACACAAATACTATGCTTTTTTTTTAAGAAGTAATAAAAAAATTTTTTTTAACAGTTTTACAAGTCTTTAGTTTCTAAATTAACAGAAGGTAGTGGAATTCTCATTATCAGTATCTACATTCAGTCTTTCACAGTATGTTGTTTTGATTGAGCAATACAAAAAAAATTGCAGCCTCACATAAACATGTAGAAATATTAAGAAACTTTCAAGCTCTCTAGTGGTAGATACAAGTTTTCCAAAACTCTGATTTTTATTTGAAACCTACAATTTTGTCAATGGCAGAAAATATTATTGTTATTTCTTTTGAAGGAGTAGGTTCATTTCATTCGTTTTGGAGAAAAATGCCTTCCAGATACCCAAGACTAACTATAGCTTACCTCTTATTCTTTCAAGTGAAAATGTGGCTTCCTGGCAAAATTTCAACTCATCTGCACAAATGCTTTTTCTTCTAGATAATCATTACCTTGATGTGCAACAGAAGTACTAACCCATACTTCATTTTATTGCATGGCATTAAGATTTATGGGACAAGATTCAAGATTTAGTAAAGAATTTTACCACTTCATCAAGGGCATTCTTAGCTAAATCTGGCTTTTTTTTTTTTTTTTCTGTTACTATGAGTGCATGAGAATGAAAAATATAAGTATAGTTTGGAGACATTGCCTTGATTTTTACTAAAGAGCCAGCAGTTTTACCCACCATTGCCTTTGCACCAACAGTGCAAAAGTCAATCCCATCAAAAAGAAAAATTCCCTATCATAGCATTACTTTAAAAGCAGCTTTGACCACACTTTGAAAATCACAGAAGTAATTTAGATGACTAGATGTTGATTTTTTAATGTATTTTTTTTCAGAGTGTATTTTTCTCTCATTGCTAAACTATTTTTATGCCTTTTTATTTACAGTTTTAAAGTTTTGAAGGATTAAGCTAAATACTAACCAGTTAATATTTGTGCATGCAATCTTTTTATTTTATTTCCATATTTGGGGATTTTTACTACAAAAAGCAGATGATAAATGCTTTAATATTAATAAATAATGATGAGCTTCTTATAATATTAACCTAGTCTTTCAATTTTGTGTTTGGCTCCCTGAAAAATCTCATTTCAGTTTCAACCTCAAACCCAGGAAAGTGTCTGTCATGCACGAACTCGACATTCACCTTCACCACCTGTAGGATATTACATCCCTCTGATATCACTCAGGTTACCCCTAGGTAAGAGGGCCTGGGAAATCTGGCGCCTCACATAAATTTCTTTATAAAATTACCTTCATTTTAATTCCCAGAATTTTAAGTAATGTTTTGTATAATTTGTCTTTAGACTATTTTCACATTTGATTTTCTCATTTGATCATTTTAACTCTTTTTTTTTTTTTTTTTTTTTGTGGTACTGGGGATTGAACCCAGGGCCTTGTGCATGCAAGGCAAGCACTCTACCAACTGAGCTATATCCCCAGCCCCATTTTAACTCTTTGAAGTAAACAGGATAAGTGAGTATATATTGTTTAAAATGAAGAAACTGGGACATTGAAAGTTGAAGTGACTGGTCCAAAGGCAGACAGCTAGTAAATGACCCAGCCAAGGCTATATCCAGAGTTAGCCATACTGCAGAATTTAAGGGACCAGTGCCCTGCACAATACCACCTTCACTTCTGACACCACCTATAAAGTTCAAGGGGTTTCTACAACTCTGTCAAGTTTAGTAATTTGTTAGAACTCACAGAAAGCTGTTTTACTTGTTTTATGACAAAGAAAGAACATAGGTTAAAATTATCTAAATAAAGAAATGTATAGGGCAGAGTCTGTGGGGTTTCTACACATGAAGAATCTCTTGTCACTAGGGAGATTCTCTTGTCATTACACTCCTGGCATCAATGGGTAACAGTGTGTGACTCAAGCATCAGTGTCCAGAGTTTTACTGGTGCTTCATTGTATCAGTATAATTGGTTGATTTCCCACATGGTTGAATTCAGCCTCCAGTACAACTGATATTGTATGATCCAAAGCTTCAACCCTAAATCACACTGTTGGTCATTCTGGCATGGCCAGTCCTCAGCCTAAGACTATTTGGTGTGGCCAGGCCCATCTTAAGATCTGTGACTAGCTCCCACTCTAACCAAAGACGTTCCTATAGACTGCTTCCCAAAAGAGCTGAGGACAAAGACCAGACCTCTCTGGGCAAAGCCAAATTATTTACTGCACAAGCTTCTCTTGGATGTTGTTTCCATCCTGCCAATTCCCAAAAGAGTCTGTGGTAGCTTTCAGAGACCCATTGACTGTTGTAGGGATATTGTTAACTAGAAGTAAAAAAGAAAGAAGATGTAAAACGGAATCAAGGGTACAAAATGGGTACAGGAATGAAACCTACTGGACAAAATGTACCATAAAGTCTCATATACTAGATAAGATGATCCATGCATTTGAGTCTTACTTTCTAGCTTCCAGTGTGCAGAGAAATAAGATTATGATTTATAATATCTATAAGATAGAAATAAATCAATTGTTTATGGAAGCATTTAAATGATTCCAATCTACAGTGTTCTTACAATCACCAAAATAATTTTTATAAAATTCGTTCTTGAAGGGACTTTTAATTCGGGTTGGTACTATCATATGAAGTATATAATTTGGAAAAGGACAGGCAAATCTACAGTAAGATAAGATTATTAAGTGTAGAGATGGCATAGAGAATATGGACTGCACCAGATCAGAGGTTCTCAGTTGGATTAATTTGACCAAGTAAGGAGTCAAACTTGCTTGACTAGCTTCTATACGAGTTGGTGCTACAGAAATTTGCATTTTTTTCTAATCTTTAAAAATATTGAAATTGTGATACACTGAGCATTTTGTAATAAAGTAAAAGTTTTTTAAATACTGATAACATTTGTTCAGGAGAAAATTGGCTAAAGAACTCTCCATTCTGTCACCATTTCCTTAAGTACATGATTTCTTATTTAGTTTTTCTTCTTAACTGAGCATAAAATAAGAAGAATGAGTCTAATGGTTTTCAAATTTTTAATTATTTCCAGCTTCCTAAAAACACATGTTCTAAGTTAATGTAGAGAAAAATTTATTTCTCAAGTATTCATGTATTACTACTGTTTGGAATTAACATTTCTTGGAAAAATGGGAATTGAATAGTCAGAGGTTTGTTATTTCTCAGTGATATAAAACTGAAAATTTGCTAGGCACAGTGGTACATACCTATAATCCCCGCTCCTTGGGGAGACTGAGGCAGGAGTATCATAAATTCAAGGCCAGCCTCTGCAACTTAGTGATACCCTGTCTCAAACTAAAAAATAAAAAAGACAGGATATGTAGCTCAGTAGTAGAATGCCCTTGGGTTCAATCACCAGTATAAAAAAAAAATTAAACACCAGTTTGGGATTGCTGTTTTATTCTTAAATACTCTCTTCCTGCTTCTTTCTTTGAGCTCTGGATTCCCTTCGCTATCCTGTGGAAGTAGTGGGAATAGTTCATCGAACACAGCTATGAATTCTCCTGCCATGTCCTATAGACTCAGCATTGGTGAATCCATCACAAACCGACGAGATTCTACTGTAACCTTCAGTAGCACCATGAGCTTGGCCAAACTTCTTCAGGAGCGTGGCATCTCTGCTAAAGTGTACCACAGCCCAATTTCAGAGAATCCCCTTCTCACGCCTCTTCCAAAAGCCCTTGCTATCCCTTCCACACCTCCAAATTCCCCATCTCATTCACCATGCCCCTCTCCCTTGCCCTTTGAGACCCGAGTGCATCTCTCTGAAAATTTTTTGGCCTCCCGTCCAGCTGAAACATTCCTCCAGGAAATGTATGGCTTGAGACCTTCCCGGAACCCTCCTGATGTTGGCCAGTTGAAAATGAACCTAGTGGATAGGCTGAAGCGACTAGGGATAGCCAGAGTCGTCAAGACCCCTGCCAGCCAGGAGAATGGAAAAAGCCAAGAGGTAGAAATCAGCCTACAAAAACCAGACTCTGCTGTTTATTTAAATTCCGGTAGCAGCTTAATGGGTGGACTGAGAAGGAATCAGAGTCTTCCAGTCATGCTGGGTAGCTTTGGTGTCCCTGTTTGCACATCCTCGCCCAAAATGAGTATCCTGAAGGAGGACTGAAACTCATCATTAACTGAACCCTTGTACAGATTAGCACATGAAGGATTGATATGCACTGATACAAGCAATCTAGTCTGACTTGAGAGAAAAGGAATGTTGCAGAAGGGTTGTGAATGTGGAGAGGGCAGTGGAGGTGTGGAAACAAGATTGGGCTGAGGTCCCTGTGGATGAAGTCTGGTAAATTGAAAGTAGAAACGAATGAGCCATGAGTGTTTCGAGAAAGAAAAGAAAGGTTTAACAATCTTTCAGTTGAGTTTTCTTGTCTTGAAAATAAAAAATGAATAGAAATTCAATAGTATTAGACCACACCAGAAAACTGAACTTGCTGATACCTTTACTTCTGATGAGCATAGCAGGACGGGAAGAGAAAAAGAGCAACTTTGACGGTCACTCAGAGAAAGCTCTTCCAAAAGGTTGGTGTGGTGATTTCAGTCTGTTACTCGGATGGTATCGAGATGCTCAAATGTTACTCTGCTAATGTCTGGTTAAATCATGCATCCATCTAATGGTGTGCTCATAGCATTCGCAAAACAAGGAATTTTATCTTTTTAGTTACATCATAAGTTGAGACTCCTTTTTTCCTGTTTTCAGGCCTTTGAGCCACTGTGAGCTCAAATGCCATCCAAATTCCTTCATATTAATGATAATTGAAAGCTCATTTCTAAATTTGTATTTTTATACAATATCCAAACAACAACAAAAAAATGTGGGTAGGGGTTGGGAAGGATTTTCTTTAAGAAGGAAAATATGGGTAAGTTGGAACCAAGGAAACTTGTTTTTAGAATATTTTTGTTGGATAATACAGTGGCCAGGAAAGACAAACATCAAGTGCATGTCTTTCAAATTTTCTTGGAGGCTAGAAAGGGTTAAACCAAAAGTGCAATCAATAGGAATTAGGTTATGTTGTATATTTACATGCGTAAAAAATTTTTTGTAAGGAAAGTTGTCCACAACTTTTTCCAAAGTGCGCTATGCATATTTTTCATGAAAGATGATGTGTATTTGCACAAAAATTCTCAGGCACATTAAATTATTATAAACTGAAGTAAAACCCAGGTGCTTGCTTTGAGACTATATTTTGTTGTTGTTGGTGGTGGGTTTTTTTTCCTAATAAAACATACCTGCCTCGTACTTAGTATCCATAGAATTAGAGGACAAACTTTATCATGGAAAAGTTAAGCTTCTTTTCTCTGGGGTTCTTTTTTGACAAACTGAAATAGTAAAGTGAGACCATGAGATTAGGTTTCAGTATTCAGCAGTGTGATGAAAGCCTGTGAATTGGGAAGAAGTCTTTCTGTTTTGTGAGTGTTGCTGATCAAGGTCTGTCCCTCATCAGGTGGCATGGCTTTGTATGACTGGTGCTGGAATATCATTACATGAAAAATATGATAGGGAGAAGGTGGGGGAGGAGACTTATTACTTTGTTCATGAAAACAGGAGATGCATCACTTGATCTTTCTGGTGCTTAATTTGCAATTGCTTTGTTGCTTTGTCCTGAATTAACTGAAAGACAATTTTCAATTGCTCTGTCTCCTGTGGTACCACTAGTATACCTATTCCCAGGCCAGGGATGGTCCTTCTTCTCTCCTTTTGAAGTGCCTCCCCTATATAAAGAGCTACAAGCTCCAAAGAATTAAAAAACCAACATGCATAGCCAGTGGTAAGAATGTATGAGTTTTTCATAATTTTTAGAATCTTTTAATAAAACTTTTCTAAATAAATTCCTCAAAAACTAAGGGTGGAAAGAGAACTCTTCCCATTCTTTCCCCTTCGCTCAGCTGTGCTGATGTCAGCAAGCATACACGCACACAATCAGAAAGGATTCCAGGCAAGTCAGTAAGGCATTAGAACAGAATTGTTGAATTTCCTAAATATTCCAACTCACTTTTTTAAAAATGGCTTTTGAATTTCTACTCTGTAAAGTAGCTCTGGGGTGCTTACTTTAGCCAACTCTTAAAGCTTTTTATTTGTTTCCTAAGAAAGTAATCTTCCTGTTGCCTGGACATTTATAATTTCAAAGCAACATCAGGAAGTAGGAAAACATAAGGTTAGGAAGTAATAAAGAATGTTAAATTACCAGATTTATATGCATATTATATAAATCCCTTTAAATTAAGCTAGATTTTGTAGTGTTCTGTGTTGAGCATAATTTTTTATAATCAATGCCTAAATGATCACTGGAAGCAGAGTGGGTATATTAGCAATCAAATAAGAACATCTGATTTAAGAAAACCAGACCTGGGTTTTTGAAAATTCAATTGATACTGATGTCATCGGAAACCATAATTATATGCTGGTGCATGCTTGTCTCTAGAAATGTATCCTATCTTAAAACTGGGTTTTGCTATTTTTGAAGTTTCCACTAAAATCATTTTTGGTACAGCCTGAGAATCTGCAAAGTATAGTAAGAACTAGAGCCTCACAGCAAGTTCTTCCTCAGTTTATCTTATATGCTTTGGTTCTATTTGTGGTTTTTTTCCTCTGGTGTTAGCTGTATCTGTAATTTCGTGCTAGTTTAGGAAATCCCAATCTTTTTTTTTTTTTCCTCCAACAATGTTTTCAGTGATTAATACCTCAGGTATTTCTGAGTATCCTGTTATCTAGTAGGAGAGATAACTTTCTTGAGCTCAGAATTAAAATTCTCCTGAATTAGGAAGATCTCAAATCTTAATAGCTGAAGGCATGGATCTTTAGGGAGAAGTTAATGATTATTGTTAAAAGTCATTTTTTTTAAATATTTTTGTGCTGTATGCTCTTGATTTGACATAAATGGTCAGACTTTGGCAAGAGAGGAAATAAATTAGAGACGCACAACAGAAACCTATTCTCTTTTATATTTTGCACAGTATTCAAAGTTTGTTTTTTTCTGACCATTCTATTACATAGTTAGTAGTGGGTGGTTCTAACATCTTTGGACATCTGGAACTAGGGCTGTCAGTATTTAATGTGCTGTCCCTTGCACAGGGATCTGTTCTCTATGTGTACAACAGCAACAGCACAGTGTTGTAACTGAGCTGTTGCATCACAGAGCACAGACCCCTGGGAGCAGGCACAAGTACCCTCTGTTTGGGACAGCCAGAGAAATACCATTTTGTGATGTCTGGGATTTGACTTTGTCAAACAACTCTTTGTGCACCTTCCTTTGCTTTGTAAAATGTAAATCAGATAATAAACATGAGAAGCTTCTTAAATTTTCCTTTGTCTCCCTGTGTTTTGTCCCAGGTCTTGCTCAGATGAGCCTGCACTGTCTCTTCTATGTTGTTTTTAGTTGGAAAACAACATCTACTTGTTGAGCCAATACACAAAACAAACCAATAACACAGTCAAGTAGTAAACAGATCTTATTGTATGTCACACATACTTTTTTAGAAGTAGTGTCTCTCTATCCCATATTTGCTTAGCAAAGTAATAGTAGTAATAAACTCTAATGACTGGGGATGCAGCTCAGTGTAGAGCACTTTGGTAGTGTGCCTAAGGCCCTGGGTTGAATCCCCACCACTGCCCAAAAAAATAAAAATAAAATCTGAAGTCATTGATGTGCAGATATTAAGTTTGAGAAGATTCAGAAGTGTGAAATAATTCTTTTCCACAATTTTCTCTTGAGATTCTTTTTTTTTTTTTT